TGGTTGAGTTGATATAGAATGATAAAAGATAAAATTTATGTACATTTTACTATATACAATAAATGCAAAAAATAATAAAATTATAATGATACATTACCTGCATAAATATGGAGATAAAGAATCACTACATTTTTTTAAATCATATCTAACTAGAAAATTATTAAATAATAGCATCACTGCAAACATAAGAGTTAACGTGTATCTAAATTCCGTTATACAAATATTAGTAGAAATCAAACTGAAAAAAAGAGTCTGTTGTGAAACAATTTTCATTAAAGTTATTATCATATTATTACTTTGAACAGGAAAAATTTCTTCTGCATTGTTATTATCACTCTCATATACATAATGATTGCTGAAGTATTGTCATTACAAGCACTTCAAAAATCGTAAGAAAATTACTAGATTACAAATTAGTTTTCTGATCACAACTTTCAACTTAAATTTCTTTTATATCTCTATCAACTTGATTTCTAACTCTTCTTCTATTTGTTATATATGAAGCAGACATCTAAATTATTAATGAAATAAAACTTAGTATCAGTTGCAAAATAACCCACTAAAATTGTTTTAGTAGATATGCAGTTGATCTATATATGTATTATTTAGTGGTTAATTGGAGTTTTGCTCATGGATTACGTAGTGGACCATTAGTGGTATCCGCATTAAATGGCAAGCTAATAACTTTCTGATATGTTAATAGTTGTTAGCCATCGGCCTGACATTATTGTTGGCTCCCACTAACTTTCCACTAAGTAACTGTTGAGCAAAAATACAGTGATCCGCTCAAGATATAGGTCCGCTCTGACTTCATAGGTCCACTAAAGTTCTGCTATATAGTGTTTTCTGGAAATTTGTTTCTACTTTTAGTAGTTTATATTATTTTTCAATATTATTACTTTTAAAATCTATATACTTAATTTCATTACAATAGTAATAATATTAAATAAAATTTATTTTATCATCAAATCGTTACACAGTCAATTATTAAAAGTTCTTTAAGGATAATTTAAAATCAAATCAACAGATGCTTGAATCAGTTTAGATATTGCAACGAAAATAATATAAAGAAATAACGATAAAGAATAATGATTTTCACCAAGAAAAAAGCATCTTTTAAAATAAAATAAAAGTATTGAATATAAAATGTAGCAAGATATGGTAGCTTTATAAAGCCTTTTAGCACAATTTTGTAGATTCTTCTGCAACTAATGCTGCTACATGATGATACATGGCTACTGCACAAATTTACCACAGACCCTCGTGTAATTGTGGTACCCTTAAAGTTCTTGATAAATTATACTCTCTAAAATAATGTAGATAAACTTATTTAAAAGTTACTTAAACACCTAAATTATACATTTTTGTTGAATTTGGACTTATAGTTTCATTTTATGTAAGAACCCTGTGACTGTTAAATTTGATTTTAAATCTTAGAGAAATAATTTAATTTAAAATTCTTATCAAAAATCTAAATATAGCGGTAGTTAGAGTATAACTACTGATTTCAAATAAACACAAAAATGAAAATAGAGTATTTCATACATGTACTCTCTAAACAACAATTAGTGTGTTTAAATTTCTTTTCACACCAATCTTGTCTCTTGATTCAATCTTTTTGACTGCTTTATTACAACTTTATCTTAAGATTCGACCATTCTAAGTTCTTAAGACCACTTCTTCTAGTTTGTAATTCATTCTGTTTATGATTTAAAATGATACTTTGACAACTTTTTTGCATAACTTTTATAGAAAATAGCTTATAAATTGACCCAAATAAATTAGTTAATTCACATGAAAGTCTTTGAAAATGATGCTTTAAGGATGTAATTATAAACAATTCAATTGTTAAAAATAATATATTGCAGTTGCTGCTTTTAAAATTTACTATTAGCCAAGATTATATTTAGCTATATAAATGCAATTAATTTATATCTCAATTTGATTTTTTGTCGTAAATGTTTATAGTTTAGCCCCTTAAAGCATTTTATTTTGCTCTTAATTTAAATATTTTAAATATATTGAGATGTCTTCTAAATTAAACTAAAGCTTACTGAAAGCTAACATTAAATAACGTCATTAAACAACACCGATAAAAACTGTTGCATCATGACAGCAACTGAAGTACGATAACAGGTTACCAAAAGCAGGTAAATTGTTTTCCAGTCATTTTTTCTTTCTTTTTTATGTCTACTTAATTTTATTGTTTTTATATGCCTACTTATCTGTTACAATTTTAATTTTAGGTTTGTCGTATGACGCAATATAAAAGATGAAAGCTCACATTTTAAAAAAAATTTGCTATACACATGTTTGATTGTAAATTATTTATTTTTTTTTTAACGTTTTTGTACTCAATTGCTTAGTTATTAATAACAAACTTAGTTATTTTTCTTAATTTATTTAGTTAAGTGCATTAATCGTTAAGATAACATTTTTTTTTCTAAAGAAAAATTTAGCATGAGAGGGGATACCAAAAGTTAATAACTCCTGTACAATATAATATAAGTTAACTTCTGATAATCTTAATAAGTAATTAAAGTTTATGTTATAAAAAATAATACAAGAATTTATTTGTGTTTAAAAAGAATGGCAAAGTGTTACTATTTGGTGTTGAACTTAGAAATGTCGATAAAAATGGTTATGCTTTACACTGATATGACCTATGTTATTATAAGGATTTAGTTGATACTTTCGTCAAGTAAAGCATGATGAAGTGTTTTTATTTTTTGTCAGTAACTAAAAACCGTATTGTGTTCAACTTATTAAAGTCGATGAAAATGATTCTGCCTTACACTGTTAAGACCTAAGTCAGTTGTAAATTGTATATAGTAATTGGTAAATTATTTTACTTCCTTATACTTTTTATGTTAATTTACAGAAGGATTAACTTTTTCAAGCTGAAGGCGTTTTTTTAAAAGGGTATTAGTTAAGGTTTTGAAACATTAAATTGTGGAAAACAGCCACTATAAACTAATTATGTAACAGACCCACTAAAACCCGTATTACACGTTGCTTTTAGCTGACTAGTTGACTATATAACAAAAATTTAAAACTTTTAAATTTAAAAACTTAAAAATTGTGAATTAAAAATAAAGTATAAATAGGAAAAGAATAAATACAATGAAACGTTATTTAAATTTTCATATAAAGTGATTATAAAATTAGTATCTCAAACTTAACTAATTGAGATACTAATATTTATACTAGTTTCAAATAGAGCTATGTAGAAATTAAGTCTGAAACGAAATATACTTTACTAATAACCAGATAATTTAAACTTAACTCAAAATTAAAACATATATTTATACAAATACACAAAAGTTAGTCTTAAAAACAAATACAAAACAAAGAACCGCATTGAAACATATTGAGTATTTGAAAATTAAATATAACGCGAACAACTATGTAACCGTGTCAATATTAATATTTTGAACAATATCATGAACCGCATTAGATCACAAAACCCTTATGGTTTACAGTTGTACTTCATGTCTAATGAGTTCAGTAATTTTGTTATATTATGTCAATTGTGTATCACATTATGCTTACTACAACGATGGCAATTTTTATTGTTTTAATTTTAGAAATATGTTTTGGTATGTTATCTCATTAATTCATATAGGTTTAATTACTTTTTATCTGAGGCTCAAAGTGTTAGGGTTGCATTAAAATAAACAGACCTATTGTGTTTTTCGTTTTTATAGCATATAAACTAAATTCAAACTGAATATTTTTAATATAAGGGTGCATTTTTCTTTTAAACAAATTTACTGAAACGATCAACTACACTAAACGGTTTGAAATATAATTGAACCTGTACTAAGTTAAATTAAACAGGAATAAAGTAAAAACAAAAACAATTTTTTATATAATCAATCAATTAATATCTTTTAGACACACTTACTGCTAAATATGTTCTACAAGCAATTTTTTTTTTCCACTAGCAATAGACCTTTCCAACTTAAAGTTTTATCATTTTGCGCGACGGGGACTGTACTCTAATTGTGGTGGTAAAAATATGAATATTCGATAAACTTTTTAAATATTTGTAAAAACTTAGCATTTATCTTTGTTATTAAATTCAACACGATGGGAGGAGGTAACTATTTATAATTATAATCTTTTTAAGTGGAAAAAACAAGAGTGTAGTGTTCATGAAGGTTTGAAAAAAGAATATTGTGGTGTAATCGTCCTTTCAATCTTTAATGTTTTCCAAGTTCTTTAGAAAATTCTAGAGAAAGAGAAAAGTGGAAAGTTTTATTGAAAAGGGAAAAAAAAATAGGAAAAAATGGAATCCATGTGACAGTGATCGTGTATGTTCTATTCATTTAGTAGATGGAATATCCACCATTGCAAATCCACATCCAACTTTACATATGGGATATAATTGTACTGATATAAAGACAAGAAGAAGTTTATATAAGCGTTTTCCAAAATCAAACTTTTCAGCTTCGATAGGTATTAGCACAGACAATAAAATGAACAATTATACAACCAAAGATAGTACCAGTGAGTTATTCAATACCAATGTAAAATCAGAGTTATGTAATACCAGTGAGTTATATAACACTAATAATGATGATACAATTTATTTACCACCACCAAGCTGTGAACATTCATTTGCTAGACATTCATAGTTAAATATGTGCGAAGGATGTAATACAAAAACCTCTTTAATTGATTCTCTTGTTAAAAAAATAAACTTCTTGAATACCTCCTTGAAGCAACTAAATCAAAAACAAGTTAATCAAACTAATAAATTATTAGTTTTTTCATGCAATAAAGTAAAAAAAGGCAAAAAAAAAATGAACTTTTATACAGGGATCTCTACAATAGCTTTATTTAATGCTATCTTCTCACTTATTATGCCTTTTCTTCCAAAGCTAAGATAATGGCGAGGACCCAAACATGTTCAGATCTTTGGCAAGTTAAAGCGCAAATTTCATTCACCTAAATATAGAAAACTTACACATCGTGATGAATTTTTATTAACACTTATGCGACTTCGTCTTGGAATTCTTAATGAAGACATTGCAGAACAATTTGGAATTTCTCCTATTACTTCTTCTAACACATTTACCACATGGATTAAACTTTTAAGCAGTGTGTTAGGTAGTGTTCTTATTGTATGGCTTCCACGTGAAGTCATCAGAAAAAATTTGCCTATAGTATTTAAGAATGCAGGGTATCGCAAGTGTTGTGTGACTACATTTGTGATTGATTGCACTGAAGTTTTTACTGAACGACCAAAATCTTTACTTGCTCAAGCTTCAACTTGGTCTGATTATAAACAACATAATACTTATAAGTTTCTTGTTGGAATTTCTCCTAATGGATTTATCACTTTTTTATCTGATTGTTATGGTGGAAGATGTTCTGATAATTTTATAACAAAAGATAGTGGTTTTTATGACTTATTAGAACGTGATGATGAAGTCATGGCAGATCGTGGATTTCAAATCCAAGAAGAACTTTTGTTAAAATTTTGCACTTTAATCGTTCCTCCAGGTGCTCGTCTTAAAAGTCAAATGATTGCATCTGAATGCAAAAAAAACCAAAAAAATAGCTAACTTGAGAATACATGAAGAAAGAGTAAGAAATAGATTGAAAACCTATAGAATTTTATAAAATGTTTTTCCTTTAACTATGCTGCGTCATGTCGATGATATTGTGAGGGTGTGTGCAGCATTATGAAACTTAAAACCTGTGTTGGTCAGTAATGCAAGAGATGGAAATATGAAAACTTAAAATAATAGTTTATTTGTATTTTTCGCAATATTTTTTTTGAAAAGAAAGGCTTTTAAGTTTTATATGAATCCTTTGTTTCTCTAACAGGGTTTGAGGCAAGAATTCCTCCTATTTTAGAATATACTTAAAACTGGGAGAAAACAATTTTTGTTAGTTTTTTTTTCCAAGTTTTATTTCAATATTTCCACACTTGTGTTTGGATTTAAATGCAGTTATGCCTCATCTTGGCTCTAGAATGCCATTTATAGTTAAGCAATTTTATACCCTTCCTGATGTTAACATAAAGCAGGTTACACTAGATTAGAGGTTACCAGTAACAGGGTGACCTGACCTAGTTGTTAAATAACATTATGTTCATAAATTTTGTTTACATATTGATTAAAAAATGCATTTGAATAAAAAAATTGCATATGATTAAAAAATATTTTAATTTTAAGTTTTTATTATTGAAATAATTTCAGGTTCTAAAAATTGGGAAGACACTGATAATAAACAGAATGGGAATGTTAAAAAGGAGGTGGGTATAAATACACAATGTAATTTTTAATATACAGTGAATGGTTCCAAAGACTTAATGCTAATCACTATTTTAAATGCAAACTAAGAACTTTCAATTTTAAAAACAGTGGATAATTCTAACTAAATAATATTGCTAATCTAATTTATAAGGTGTAAAAAAATGAGTCAATGTTCATTAAATAAATTATTGATTTTGTGATTTCCACAAATTTTTGAAAAACTTTTAAATAACATTTTACAAACAACGTGAAACCTTATTAATCATGGGCTAAACACTCCAGCGAAGGAATATGAAAAAAAAACTGCTTATAAATTAAAAATAATCTTATATTTATTTCTAATAATATATCAAAAATCAAAATGATAAATCAAAAATAATATACATTTATTTCAGACCTCGCTGACTTCAGAATCTGTGTTTTTGTTGGGGTTCACACCCCATACAACTCCTAATTTCCAACCCTTATGGTTCACTACCATAGAAAAGTCATAATAAAATGCATACTGGAACAGACTTATCTTGCTTTGTCTGCCCATGTGAACATACAATGTTCATTATATCTAAAATAAAGTTGAACAACATTTTTTGATATTTTTTAGAAAAGGTATCCCCTCTCCAGTTAGAGGTAAAAATTTCGATATAACCATCGCTTATAAAAATAAAGAGATTTTGAATTTTGAATTTTAATTTTGAATGCCTAAAAATGCTTCTTAGCTAACGGGTTTTATCACTTAAGACTGATAATAAATTTGTTCTGTTTTATTTTTTGGTTTGGGTGAATGTCTACAAAAACAATTTTTCAGTGTTATGAGAATCATGTATTTCCCATTCCCTTTATCAATAATTAGACAATGAAAATTTTTAAAAGCTACATCGACTTTTTCTATTAAAACAAACTTCATAGGTAGATTTAAAACAATAAAAACTTCTGGAAACGTAACCATATTTTTTTAATTAAAATAAAAAACACATTGCAGTCTATTGACTAAAAAATTGTGCTCAAATAATAATTATAGTAATACTCTTTAAAATTACACTTGATTGCATCCATTTTTTTATTGTCAAATTCAATATGTTCGATAAAATTTCCGTGGGGTGTCCACACCATGAAATATGAATGACGGTGCCTTGTAACAGCCATTTGTACAAGGCATTGCATATAATATGCATGATTCTTGTTTAAAAAAATACTAAAATCGCTTTTAGTCAAATATGGAAGATTTACGCTTGGATCAAGTGGGGACAAGTAATTTATAGAAAAGGGACACTTTACTTCAAGACATGCAGGTGGACAACACAAACAAGTAACAATACGATCAGGACTACCACCAATAAAAGGAATATCTCTGTCTAAAAATAATCCACAATCATGCAATACTACCCCTTTATGACTAATTTTTAAAATTTCATAAAAACAATTAACAGCATTTTCTTCCATTTCTCTACCATAGTTTATTGCTGTCTTAATTCAATGGCCACTACTGAAATTCCAGCTTTTCTTGCAAAAAATTTTTTTTTTTTCATTACTTACGATTTTAAAAAACATTAATTATTATAACAGTATTATTGAATCTAGTCGAACAAACTAGCCACACTAAAACTACTATATACTTTCATAGAAGATGGGGGATGAATTAGCATAGCGTTGTAAATCTTTTAAGCTCTGGTGCCATGAAAACAATTTTATTTATCAATATATTCTATACTTTATATATATATATATATATATATATATATATATATATATATAATAATGTAGTTAATAAGTTTTTGAATCGAGAGATATTTTTACTTTTTGTGATTCCTAAACTACGAGTCTGTAGGCCGTCTATTTTCTCTGCTGTAATGCTTCAGCAAAAAGAGAGTTCAGTCGATTAAAACTTGTAAAAAGCGACAAAAAACAACAACAAAAAAACAATTCGATGTCGATTTTATTGCAAGTGGAAATATTGTTTTCTTAACAAAAAATTATTTCACTGCCTACAATACTGATTTGCTACAGAATTTTGTTTTTTTTAAAAGTGCTCTAAAAGTTAACTGAAATGATTTTGTTAGAGTTTACCTATAAGTGGTTGATACTTTTAGAAAAGCGATTATGCTTCAAATAAAAAAAAATTCCATAGGCGTTTTTGGTTCGCAAAATCAAAACAACGAAAAGCGGTCTTTAAATCAACTAAAATAGAAGTTCCACAAATAATTTTTTTTATTAAAAAAATTAATTTTCAAATGACTAACAACTTCTCAAAGCAGTTATTGTAAATATTATAGATATTAATCGAGTTTGATATTTTGTAGTTATTAAGGTGCTCCAAGAAAACGGGGAAAATATACAATAAATATTAATTGTTTGAAGTTCTTTGATTGACTTACTTCCAAACCAAAATAATAAGTTGAATTTACAGGGGTTTATGCACAATTTGTCCTATGGAAATCTGTGACCTTTTTTTTTAAAAATCAGCTATTTTTCCAACGATTTTTGTCACGAAATATCATTTATAAAAATCAGCTGCTATATTAAATGTTATAAATGGATATTTTCGGGTTTTCAAAACAAATTATTTCAGTAAAGGCCTTATCACATCTTAAATGTTTAATGGAAGACATCAGCAAGAAAAAAAACAACAATATTTTTATTATAAAACGAGTCACTTCTCGTTCACAAATCATGGAATTCTCCCTGACTATCTAATTAACAAATAATAAATCCCTGACTATTCCAAGTTTTCCCACACTTTAGCTGAAAGAAACCGATTTTTCAGGTCGTCCGTGTTCGCTACGAACCATGCACTTAGAATAAGGAATTATTATCCAATGTTTTTTTATTTCCTTTTTTCAAATCTGTTTTTTAGGACTATCTTATTTTAATACGTTCTCACGAAAACGTTGATGTCTTTTTTACTTCAAATTTTTACAATATGTTTATTAAATAAATTCGAGTTTAATTTTTGTTCGAAAAAACAGGTCATAAATGGGTTATTTAATAAGATTACAACATGGGTTATTTATTAAAGATTACTTTGTATGAAATATTTCCCAATCAGATTGCATTCGCTATCCGATTGGGAAAAAAACACCCTCGTCGCTGTCACTAAGTTGACTGAATCTACTTTTTTGTTGTTATATTTAAAGTAAAATTTTTAACAAAAATTTGTAAATGTATTTATTCACAAATCATTAAAAAAGTCACGTTATAATTACTTATAAATGGCTAGCGCAAATTAGACAAAACACTGCAAAGATGGTGCAATATGGGACTGTACGGAAAACTTGCAGTTCATGGCGCCAATAATGACTGTTAGCTAAAAATAAAAAGTTTTTATTACTGTACAGTATACATTGCGACATGATTATAGAGTTAATTCTAACACTCTAAGGCGATCATGCTGTCCACATACCAGTCTTAAGTGTTTAATACACGGGAGGGGACGTTTATTATAATAATTGTTTTCAAGTTTCACTAACACCGACCTTATTTAGACCACTATATTTATTAATTTTAACTTGCTAAAAACAAAGGAACTATCCCTAAACCATAACTGATCAAAACTTGAAGCAAAAATGAGCTTTATGTAGCATTACCAAGAACATAATACTTCTCTAGTATACAGCTTGCATGTTAAATCCCATTAAAATTATTTTTACAAGTAGTTATAAAATTTAGAGGTAATTCAATCCAATCTCCGTTGATTGAAACAAGAAAAAAGTAAAGACCTTGTTGGATTCAAAAAATAATTTCCACCCCTTTCATTATAAGTAATATTACAGCCCCCTCTTTCATTTCCATTTGACTATGTTTTAAGCACTTGAGAGTAATGATTTAAATATAGAAAAAACATAACTTACTAAAAAAAAGGTAAGGTATATGCATTTGTAACAACAGTTAGAAGGCTGATATCATGACCAAGCTAAATGCATTTCCGATAACAATAACTGAATTGCTGGTATCATGACCAAGCTATATGCATTTCCGATAACAATAATTGGATTGCTGGTATGATGACCAAGCTATATGCATTTCCAATAACAAAAATTGGATTACTGGTATCATCACCAAGCTATATGCATTTCCAGTAACAACAATTGGATTGCTGGTATCATGACCTAGCTATATGCATTTTTAATAACAAAAATTGAATTGCTGGTATCATCACCAAGCTATATGCATTTCCAGTAACAACAATTGGATTGCTGGTATCATCACCAAGCTATATGCATTTCCAATAACAAGTGCCATTATTTCCAAGCTTTATGCGTTATAGTAACAGCAACTGAAATGCCAGAACGCCACTATTGCATTTAACT